CCGACTTAGTGTCGATTAGCGTCGATTTAGCGTCGATTAGCGTCGATTTAGCGTCGACTAGAGTGGTGCGCTTCTGGCTCACCGGGCGCGTGCACTTCAGGATCCTGGAGGACATCGCAGCGATCGAAAGGGGTACGGATCTAGGCCCCCTAGATGGGGTCGGAGTAGGTGTGGTCGGAGGATCGCGCCGCATCGCCAATGCATCGGCGATGCATCGGCGATGCACCGCCTGCATCGACAATGCGGCTCGATGCAGAGCCCGATGTTCTTCACGCGGACGTTGCCGATGCGTCGCCGACGTCGACGGTGCGTCGCAAGTGCATCGCCGATGCATCGTCGTTCTATCGCTGATGCAGCGCGATCCTCCGACACCATCTACTCGGACCCCATCTAGGAGCCCTCTAATCGAAAGAATGGGTACAAAGACCAACAGTAGCTCCTGTTCATTATGAACAGGATTCGCTGTCCGCGCCGCCGCGGACGTCATGGAATTCAAAAAGCCGCCCGCCCAACAGCCGCCGCTGTCGGTTTTGGACAACATTTGTTGTTGGGCATCGTAACCATTTTTCCGTACCCACTGCGGTCGTCCAAAGAGGACGTCGACCTTGCCGCGTCGCCGTATTGCATAGATCTTGACGCCATGTGGGAGGCTTTCGCTCGCGCGCGCTGGGGTGGTCCTCCTGCCCGCTCCCCTCAAACAGTGGGCGCCCCGAGTGCAGACCAGCTCGGAGATCCATAATGAGAAGTCTGGAACTCCGGGGTTACTGGTTTTCTTCGTCGAAGCTTGCTTACATGCGCTGTTTCTAGTCAGCCTGTCGCTCCACTAGTTTCTGCTATCCCCGTTTGTCCTCCACTTCCGCCGAGGAGAGAGATTTCTGTCCGTTCTTGGTTCTGTTTCAAAATGCCAAGCCTTCACAGCTCCAGGTTTTCACCGCGTGCATGCCCTTGCTCAGGTTTCAATGTGTTCTAGGCGTTCGGTCTCTTGCACTTCCTCGGCCTATTGAGCTGTGTCCTTCCCCCATACGCTTCAAAGGTTTTTTCTTTCCCGTACCTGTTTTCTGTCCCAGGACTTCCTCTGGCCACCTGTGTTCCCATCCATCTCCCTACAAGGCCTCTTCCCTCCCATGGATCGTTCTTGCCAGGCGGATAAAACTGCCAACATGCAAGTGTTCGAATTTTGGCACGTCGGGAGTAAAGGTGTTACACATGTCCACCCCCCTGCAACTGCAACGACAAGAGAGGGGGGCTGAGGCTGCCTTCTGGCGCCCGCCGCTGGCGCCGTTCTCCTGGCGCAAGGCAATGTAGCAACGGCCGCGGTGGGAGGGGAAACGTCGGCGGGTCGCGAGGCTCGACAGCCACTGTGAAAAAGCCCTTCGCAGGCGCCGGCTTTCTTATCAGCAAAGCCAGCCCGCCCCAGACGTTTTTCTGTTGCAGGGTAGTTTTGATGTATGTATATGTATGTATGTATGTGTATATATATAAAACCTGTTGTAGATTTAGTGTACGAGCTTCGCGGGCGTGGGTCGCGGGGGAGGTACTGGTGGGTCGCAGGAGATTCGCGGGAAGGTCACGGGGAGGTCGCGGGTGGATCGCGGGGTGGGTCGCGGGGTGGGTCGCGGGTGCGGCGGCAGCGACGACGATAGGGACGACGTCGACGAGGACGACGACGACGGCGACAAGGACGACGACGACGACGACGACGATGACAACGACGACGACGACGACACAGCACAGCAAGAATGGGCAGCGCAATCCCATTTCAGCCGCACGTCCAGGAACAGTGTAACACCGTTCGGCCTCCTCATTCCGATGTAAGTTTATCGCGTGCGACGATGTTGGGTTATCTGGTTGCCATGCAGCAGCCCTAGGCGTCTTGTAGCGGGAAACTGATTGCCACACTTCGAGGTGGATGTGCATACCAATGTGTATACGTCAGCGGTGTTCTCATCATGGTTGCATGGCTGTCAAAGCCAATATCGCAGACGCGTGCCAAGCAAACACGCCACAGCCACACCAAAACGCCACCAGCAAACACAGTTGTCAACGGTTCACCGATGGATATAACGCCCATCCCGTGCGCGAACAGACCAGAAGCTTCTTGTGGATCTCCCCTATCGCGCGCTTTGGCCTGGTCCTCCATCGCCTACCAGCCAAACGTTTGTATGGCAACCATGGACGTTCCATGTGCAAAGACCATGTTCAACCCATAACATGCAATGCGTGTCCCACGCGCCCCACCTCCTGGATACAACGTCGTAAGTATCACATGTTTACATGTCCTCACGGTGCACCCTGGGCGATGCTTTTATCACTATGGACTTACCACGCTCAGCGTGTTATTGAATAGTGTGGCGTGAGCGGCCTCTGTGAGGTATACAGTCAGCATGGCGACTAGCTGTACACTTTACTGTTGGCACGTCTTGTGGAATGATGTGATGTTCAAGGCCACGTGCGTGCGTGTATGATGGTGTGGTACGATGCGGCACGATGTGTTACGATGTTACATGCACCAGGTTCTGCCGACGCGAGAACGACGAGACTGGGACAGCGTTCACCGTTGAACTCATGAGCTCTGAACGTGCAGGCTCGGGAAGTGGAGAGCCCAGCACCCTAGAGCTCAGAAGTTCTGGAGGGGCGGTCCCGCCCACGCCGCTGGAGATCCAGAATCTCGGAGTCTGGGGCCTCGTCCCCGTGTCCCCCACCTCTGACGAACGAACAACACGCACCCAGACCCATAGGGGGGGCGGCGGGGGCTATGGGCGCGTGTTTTCGGACGGGGGTCCCCGTTCGAAAGGGAGCCTCCCCCAGGGTCTGACAACCCGCAGCCAGATCCATGGCCAGCCCTCCCGCCTCCGACCCTCCTGTGGCTATGGTTTGTGTGCGCTGTTCGTTCGTCGACCGACCTCGTCTCCGTGATCCCCGCCCCGCCCGCACCCCTTGGCCGGGGCTCGAGCTACACGGTGTTTTTTGGCAAACTCGTGGGCCGGTTTCGTTTTTTGACTTCGTCTTGCAGCGAATGTGGAGCGAAGACACGCCTTCCGTTTCCGTGTTCCGTTTCCGTTTCCGTTTTCGTGTTTTTTTGTTTATTGTTTTTTTGATTTCGTGTTTCCGTTTTCGTTTCGTCTTCGTCTTGCAGAATTGACGAGCAAACAAAACGAAAACGGAAAACACGGTTTGACTCGAGCTTTGCCCCCTTGGCCCCTCGGAGGAGGGCCCAGGGCTCGAGTTGCACGGCATTTTGCGGCGCTCTCGTGGGCCGCTGTCGTCTTGGCATTGCGTGCTCGCAGCAGGGGCGGAGCGCACTGCGAGGCGAGGGAGAAGGAGCACAGAACGACAAGGGAGCACCTCACGAAAACGGAGCGAACACGACCGCGAAGCGAAGAGCCGAACGCCGCGAAACGACGGGAGGGACCACGGAGCACGAGAATGAAAAGCCAGAACCGAAAACGAACACGAAAACGGCCGAGCCCTGGGAGTCAAGGGCGTAAAAAACGCTCCTACCCTGGTTTACGATGCGCTGTGCGCTGAACCTCCTGTGGGCTGATACGGGAAACCCTGCACATCGCGCGTGTGGCGCGGCGCCCTGCCTGCCCTCTGGCCTTTGGGAGCTCCCGGGAGGCTTACAGACCACGCACTTGTGACCCAGGGTAGGCGCGTTTTTTGCACCCCTCAAGGGAGGGCCACCCTGGCGCACGCACCGGATGCCTCCCGGCCGTGAACGCCGAGCTCGCGCGCCTCGTCAGCGCCAGCAAGGGCGCCCCCTTCCTGGCCTGCGGCGCGGCCCGCGACCCGCGGCGGGGAGGCGCGCCCGCCCTGGCGCTCCTGTGGGCCGCCGGCGCTCCCGGCGCGCTTGCCTCGCCGGCAGGCCCCGGGGGCGGTGACATCTCCTCCTCCTCCTCCTCCTCCTCCTCCTCCTCCTCCTCCTCCTCCTCTCCTCCTCCTCCTCTCCCTGTTCCTCTTCCTCCTCTCCCTCCTCGTCCGCCTCATTATTTTCCTTCTCCTCCTCCTTCACCTCTGCACCCAGGATGATACGACTCGAAGAAGAGAAATTCCATAAACATACACGTTTGGCGCTCCGCGCGGATTTCTTGGATCCGCGCTGAGGGGGGTACAGCGCGGATCCAAGAATTCCACGCGGAGCGCCAAGAGTTCATGTGTATGTCGTTTCTCGTCTTCCATCTATGATGGCTGGAGGTGGTGGCGACAGGTCGCGGGTCGGTCAGGGGTCCTGTCGACCGGAGTTCGGCCACCATGCGGGGGGCACGGACCAGATGGGCGGAGTCGGGCTTGGAGAAGACACTCTCGGGTTGCGCTGCGTCGGAGGAAGGATGAGGGGAGCAGGAGGAGGATGAGGAGGAGGAGGAGGAGGGGGCCAAACCTTACCAGTTTGAAACATATCCCTATCCCTATGTTTGACATCACCTCCTCACCTCGATGCCGATCTTAAGGATTCCCTCAGTTTCTGAGGGCCTATCCCTAAGATTGTCCTCGCTTTTTGCTCGCCCATCTTAGGGATAGGGATACGTTCGAGGCTGGTTAAAACCGTCGACGGCGCCGACGACACAAGAGAGGGGGAGGCGCGATGGAACAAGCACGATTTCTGATGGCAGCAGAAGCGCCAGCACCGATCCAGCTGCCCACGGCAGTGCCCGCCGCCGTGCCAGCCCGGCAGTCTGGGAGGCAGCCGCTCGGGGATTGCACTGGACATCTCCTCCTCCTCCTCCTCCTCCCCCTCCTCCTCCACCTCCACCTCCTCCTCCTTCTCCTCCTCCTCCTCCTCCTCCTCCTCCTCCTCCTCCTCCTCCTCTTCCTCCTCCTCCCCTACCACGTGCCTTGACGCTTGGGAGAGCCCTGGCATGTAGCACGCCCCTCCAAGTCGTGTCTGAGCGTCTCTCCTCGTGTTCGTCGTCGCCTTCACCCCCCCTCCTCTTCTTCCCCCCTCCTCTCTCGGCGCCTCTCGGGGGCCTCTCGGGGGGCCTCTCGAGGGCCTTTGGGGGCTCCTTGGATCATCTTCGGGCGCTCCTGAGCACGCTGACGCCCTTGGAGTCCGTCTTGGGGGCCTCTCTGGGCCGTCTCGGGGGCCTGTTGGGGCCGTGCCGTGTCGTCTTGGGGGTCTCCTGGGCCGTCTTGCGGATCTCCGAGGCCATCGTGCGAGCCTGTTGCGCCGTCCTGGGCCTCCCTTTCCGCCGCCGAGCGAGGCGGCACCCGCCACATCTTGAGAAGGGCACCTCCCCCGATCCGTGGATTCGGCGACCGCGCGCCACGCCCATGGGTCGCTACTCCATGTCTGCGCTCCCCCGACGGGTGCTTGCCGCAAGTGCCACCACCGTCCCAGCGTGTATCAGGAGGGGAAAAAACACACAGACACAATGAATCGTCGATTCCCAGGAAAATATGGGAAAATATGGGAAGGCAGAAGCCCCGAAAATATGAGAAAATATGGGGGAACCTGTTATTTGTGTGTATTTATTTGTGTGTCCCAGGGCCCTCTCGAGAGCTGGCCGGGCGGGCCACTGCACGTGGCAGCAGCGGGCCCCCAGAGGGCCGAGGCGTGCCTGGACGATGCCACGCGTGCACGGCACATGCGCTCTGGGTTCCCGCCGGGACGCGCCACGCGGCCTCTCTATCTACTTGCCCGTCTCCATGTCCTTCTCTCTCTCTCTCTCTTACTTTCTTTATTGCTTTCTCTCTCTCTCTCTCCCTCCCTCCCTCCCTCCCTCCCTTCCTCCCTTGCTCTCTCTCTCGCTCTCTCTCTCTCTCCCTCTCTCACCTCCTCCCTCCTTCCCTTGCTCTGTCCCCCGCGATTCTCCCTCTTCCTCTCCCTTGCTCTCTCTCTCTCTCTCACTCCCCTCCTGTTTCGTTTTTGTGTTTCTCTCTCTCTCTCTCTCTCCGAAGTGTCGACATGAGTTCGTGGCCGTCCTTCACAATACGGATGTCGCGATCTATGACCGTCGTCGCCACACACTTCCGCTTCCAGACAGACGAACTGGATACTCCATGTCGGAACTCCACCAGATGAAACCCAACCCGCTCACCATAGGGGGCGGCGGGGGTGAGCCATGAGGCTCACCCAGCGACCCACCCCACTCCCAAGGCCCACTAGGGCCTGGGTACCACGATGAACTTGACGATCCATGGGGCATCCCTCCCAACGACTTAGATGGTGACGAAGAGGATCCACTCGGCCTAAAGGGGGCCCTCGACAATCACGACGACGACACTCCTCGCCCACTAGATTGTCACGACAGCGATGGTCAAGACGCGGGTGACGATCCTCCACTTTTGCGTCCACGCAGGCACATGACAACCTTGACCCACGAGGTGCGCGCTAGAGCAACAAGGCCGGCACGTGCGCTTGCAATTTCACGCGGAGCCGGGCGTACGCATCCAAGTACAATTTCAAGACCACATAGGGGCTCATCGGCCATCAGGCCTTGAGACAAACGGCAACACGTGTCAAAGGTAGGAGCGTCTTAACCACATTGTTCCTAGAGGCTACACGACTCCATCACTTGTGTGCTGATCTGCGGAAGGGTCAAGCGGAGCTCCCTCATGCGAGCGATGAGGCCCAAACCAGGGGCGGAGTGCCTGGCGAGAGGTGGCCCACGGGGGGACTGTTCCGATCAATTAGGGGGCGTAGTCGATGCTCAGGTCGGCAGTGCTGCACCGTGTCGAGCCACACAGCGGCAGAAGTAGGCGGAGACTCTTCGAACTCGGCAGGATACACGTACTGGTTGGCGAGCAGGACGCAATCCTGGCACGGTTTACCAGAGACATGAGTGACGTCGTCGACGTACCGACCCGAAGCAACCATCGATTCCCAAAGACATCCTTGACGAACGAATCCGACCGCCTCTAGTCCGGCCTGGTTGCGCACCAACGTGTGCACAGCCTCCGCCAATACCATCGACCAGCTGATCTTGATGCAGTACCCGGCAATCTGAAGGCCTTTTGCGCGGCACGTGAGGGTGCTAAGGCTTCACTCATTCCCTCGGCACGGGCCTAGTTGCTTCCGTGACAGCCGTGCGAGCGATCGTCGTTTTGCCCGTTACGATCTTGGCCCGGCGCAGAGTGTATGTTTTCTGCGGCCAGGCGGACGTTGCCTCGAAACACTTCCCTGGCCTCCGCGACGGCGACAGTCCGTTCAGGCAGTGTAGCTGAACATCCGACGAATTCGCCGCGAGGCCCAGAGGCGGGGCCGTGCGTCAGCTTACCAATCCGGCGTCGTAGGATGTCTGGTTCATCTTGCAAGCGTCATGCCTCGAAACCTCTTCCACTCCGAGCAAAGCGAAACTCTGCACACGTTTACGATCCAGTTAGTGCAGCTCGCCCTAGTGGACAATCCGCAGCACCCCTCCCGCCGCCACCGGTAACTGGAAAGCCCCCCCTCTCTCCTCAGGGCCGAAACAGAATGTATCAAAACACACGCGTTGGTGATGTATATCTGTTGGGGTACAAGGAGGAGAGATTTTTATACACCACCACCACTGAAAAGTGCTGTGTCTGCTTCAGGAGCTGTCTGTCCCCCCGCGGCGCCCGCGCGCCGCGCCGAGTTGGCCTCGCACCCGCGGTGCTTCGCAGCGGTCTCCCAGGGCCCAGCCGAGCAGTTGCCGGTCTCGTTTTTCCAAGTTCGGGGCCACGGCGCGTGGCTCTCACAGCCTTTTCTGAGGCAGCTGTGGCCTGGTTTGTGTGGCGGCTGCGGCGGCGCGGCGGCGGAGCGGCAGAACACTTCGGCATGATCGTGCCGCACGTGTACCAGGGGAGGAGGAAACACACAGACAAAATTAATCGTCGATCCTCAAGAACATGTGGGAACATAGGGGAAGTGGGGGGGAGGCAAAAAGCCCAGAAATCATAGGAAAATATGGGGAATATTTTTATGTGTGTGTATTTATTTGTGTGTCCCAGGCCCCCTTCAGTGTACGTGAGCCGCGACGCGGAGGCATTCACGGACAGGGAGCGGTAAAGATCGGCAGCAGCATTTTCACGAAGGGTCGCCAGCAATCGCCCGTCGGCCGCCGCGGGGATGGACTCAATCAAAGTTTCAGCGTTATTGCCGACAACATGGTACAGTAACAGTGGTTCGGCTCGCCAAGATGGCACCTGCAACAGCCTGTCGGATCGGAATATCTTCCAGAGCTGTCGCATCCAAGGGACACAATGGCTGATCTTCTGACCTTTTGACACACTTCGTGCTGGCGCCCATACTTTTCCTGGCATTGTTCACGCCGTTCTTGTGATGGTTTCGCGTATACATTGCTCCATCAGAGTCTGCATCTGCCGGCTGCTGATACGAATGTTCTCTCATCGTGTCGTCGGCAGGATCCAGGCTGCCAAGCCAGCGCCAATTCGATACCTGGCAAGGTGCTGCTGGCGTGGACCATGCAGCGGAAGCAGGTGTTAGATAGTCCATGGGCCGTTGTGGACACCCCAATTGTTTCCCAAAAGGTTCTAGTCCACGGTGTTCCGCTTCGTACCCGATCACAGGACGAGCAGCGGCCATCTTAGTTGTGTGGCTTTAGCTTAAACGGTAGGCTTTCTGGGGCCTCAGGTGCGGGGGCTTCTCCTCTGGGTCTCCCTTGCTCCCTGCTCCTGCTCTCTGCTTGCCTTCTCTCTCCCCCTCGCTCCCGCTCTAGCTCCCTGGGGTTCAAGCTGGGGGCTGGCCTCAGGTGGCCCAGAGGCCAGGGCATCCCGGAGGCCCACTCCGGGAGCCCGGAAGATCCCGGGATTCTGGGAGGTGCTCACGCGCGGCTGGGCCATGCCGCCGCGCGGGGCGCCCCGCGGCTGGGGGGCGGCGGCGCTGCCGCCACCAGCCGCTGCCGAGCAGAGCGGGGAGGGGCTGCGCCGCACGGCGTCGGCCACCACCTGCCGCACGGCACTGGTGGCAGGCACTGCCCGCCCCCGCGGCGAGCGCAGGGCGCCCCATGGCTGGGGGGCGGCGGCGCGCGCGCTGCCGCCGCCTGCCGAGCAGGAGCGCACGCGCGGCGGGGCCATGCGACCGCGCGAGGCGCTCCATGGCTGGGGGGCGGCGCTCCTGCCGCCACTGGCCAGAGCCGCGACGAGCAAGGGGGAGCTGAGCTGCACGGCGTCGGCCCCCAGCTGCCGCGCGGCGCTGCTGGCAGCCACCGCCCGCCCCCGCGGCGGGCGCGGGGCCACCGGCCAGGCCCGACGGCGCGCCCAAGCGCGCGCTGACAGCGACTGGGCTGCTGCTGGGAGAGACCCCCGCGGCGGCTTGGACCTGGCCCCACCTCCGGGGAAGCCCACGCGCGGCCCGGCCACGCCGCCGCGCGGGGCGCCCCGCGGCTGGGAAGCGGCGGCGCCGCCGCCACCAGCCGCCACCACGCAGGGCAGGGAGGTGCGACGCCACGCGGCGCCGGCTATCACCCGCCACGCGGCGCTGCCGACAGCTCGCCTGCCTTCCCTAACGGCGGACGCGGGGCTGCCGACTGGGCACAGAGGTGCGCTCTCGCGCGCGCCGACGGCGACTGGGCTGCTGCTGGGTGGAAAACTCACGGCGGCCCGGAGCCAACCCCACCGCAAGCTGGCCATCGGCACGGACGACTGGATCCTCCTCGAGGAGAAGGACAAGGAGGAGCATGTGGGAGGCTGGGGCCGCCGCGGCACCGTCCCCGCGAGGTGGTACCTGGACAGGAGCGTTTGGGTGCGACGGGGCCGGGGCCCGACCCAGGCCAAAGGGGGTGCGCACAGCCAGGGCCCCTTCCCACCCCCTGGGAGTGCCGCCGGCGCTGGGGCAGGCGAGCAACCATGCCGCCGCCTCCGCCAGGCCGAGCACCCTGGGGGTACCGGCGCCGACAACACCAACCTCAGCAACGCGGACTTCTCGTCTTCGGGGAGTGCCGCCGGCGCTGGGGCAAGCGAGCAACCATGCCGCCGCCTCCGCCAGGCCGAGCACCCTGTAGGTACCGGCACCGACAGCACCAAGATCAGCGACGCGGACTTCTCTTCTTCGGGGAGTGCCGCCGGCGCTGGGGCAGGCGAGCAACCGTGCCGCCGCCCCCGTCAGGCCGAGCACCCTGTGGGTACCGGCACCGAGAGCTTCAGCGACGCGGAGGTCTTCATCGGCCACGTGGAGACGCTGGGGGTCGTGCAGACGGCCTACGCGCCGCCTCCTTTCCTTCCCCCCCGTGGTCCTCCTCCCGTACCTTCTCCGCCTCCCTCCCCCCTTCGGGAACGACAGCGAGGGAGCTTGGGGAGTACGGCAGGAACTACGGCGGGGACGACGAGGCGGACGACGAGCAGGAGGAAGAGGAGTATCAGGTGTACGGCGGCTTCCAGGCCCTGGAGCACGACGCCACGGAGCAGGCAAGAGGCACGAAGCGAAGGAGAGATTAAAACGAGGAAGGGGAGCGAGTGGCATTCAGAGGAGCCAGCTGCGACGATGGCCATACCGACAATGGCGTCGACGGGATCTCCGACCGCTGTGCCGACGACCACGCCGACGCCGACACCCGCGAGTCTTCCGACGGTGACACCGACGACTACGCCGACAGCAACGTCGACGATGTCTCCGCGTGCTCCGCCAACGGCCACGCCATCTGCGCCGAAGGCCGCGTCGACAGCAGCACCGCCGAGGTCTCCAACGGCTGCGCCGCCAGCCACGCCGGCAGCAGCGTCGGCGACATCGACCGCCGTCCCGAGTACTACGCCGACGGCCGCACTAACATCGGCACTGACACGAGGCCCGACGGCTGCGTGGACGACCACGCCGACAGCAGCATCGACCAGGTCTCTGGCTGCTGCGCCGATGGCCGCGCCGACACCGGCACTTGCGAGGTCCCCGACGGCTCCGTCGCCGGCCCCACGGACAGCGGCGTTGGCAAGGTCATCGCGTGCTGCGCCGACGGCCGCATCGACAACAGCATCGCCGAGAGCTCCGCCTGCTGCACCGCCGGCCACGCCGCCGACGGCAGCGTCAGCGGGGTCCCCGTTCGCTGTTCTGGCGGCCGCATCGACAACAGCATCGCCAAGGTGCCCGATGGCAGCGCCGACAGCTGCGTCGACAGCAGCATCGCCGAGGCTTCTGACGGCCTCGCTGGCAGCCGAGCCGACAGTGGTGTCGACCAGGTTTCCACCGCGCTGACGGCAGCACTGATGGGGCCCCCGACGGATGCGCCTACAGCCATACCGACAGCAACGCCGACGAAGTCTCAGAGTGCTACGCCGACGGCCACGCCGGCAACAGCATCGTCGACGTCTCCGGCGGTTGCGACGACGGCCACGCCGGCGTCGGAGACGACAGGGTCCACGAAGGCTGCGCCGACGGTCGCGCCGACATCGGCACCGACGATGGGTCTAGCAGCGGCTTTGACGGCCTCGCCGACAGCAGCGTCGACGAGGCCTCCGGTTGCTGCGCCAACAACTGCGCTGACACCCACGCCGACGAGGGCTCCGGGGGCTCCGTCGACGGCCACGCCGACAACAGGGTCGACGAGGCCGTCGCCTGCTACGCCGACTGCCGCGTCGAGATCAGCATCCCCGAGACCCCCGACGGCTGCGCCGACGCTCGCGCGGACAGCGACGTCGACAGGGCTTCCGGCCGCCGCGTCGTCGGCCGCGTCGAAGGCAGTGTCGCCGAGGTCGCCGACGGCTGCGCCGACGGCTACGACGGCAGCAACTGCGACAAGGTCTCCGAATGCTGCGCCAACGGCCGCGCCGGCAGCGGCACCGACGAGAGATCCGACGGCTGCATCACCAGCTGCGCCGCCGGCAGCGTCAACATCTGCGGCGCCGACCGCCACGCCCACATCGGCATCGACGAGGCCTCCGACGACTCCGCAGACGGCCACGCCGGCAACAGCGGCGACATGACCGCCGCCCGATGCGCGGACGGCCGCGTCGGCGGCAGCATCGCCGCGGCCTCCGACGACTGCTCCGACGGCCGCGCCGACAGCAGCGCCGACAAGGTCTCCATATGCTGCGCCGACGGCCTCGTCGACAGCAGCCTCATCCATGTCCCCGACGGCCGCGCAGACGGCCGCGCCGACACCAACACCGAGGCCTTCGACGGCTGCGCCGGGGGCCAAGCCGACAGCGGCATCGCCAAGATCTCCACCTGCTGCGCCGGCGGTCGCGTCGACAGCAGCACCGACGAGGTCTCCGACGGCTGCGCTGCCGGCCACGCGGGCGGCGGCAGCGCCGCCGCCCCGGCGAAGCAGGCGAGCAGCAATGCCGCCGCCGCCAGGCGGAGCGCGACGCGGCAACGGAGGCGGAGCAGCTGAGGAGGAGCGGCTCGGAGAGGTGTGACAAACATCGTAACCCTTGATCAGCGCGTCCGGGATCGGCAGCACGACGCAGGGCTTCGCGACCACGTCGGATACCTCAGCAGCGAGCAGCACGACGGCGCGCAGCCGCACGAGCCTCCTCTCCACGAGTGCGGGAGGCGATGCGACGAGCACCGCGTCCAGCAGCAGCGCGCCCAGGGCCAGCAGCCTGACGGTGCGCATGATAGTGGCCACCAGCCTCCCCAACATCAGCTTCCTGGCGGGGCCCCAGCGCGCTCTGCCCGCCAGGCCAGGCGTGCGCCTGCGGCGCCGCTGGCCCCGGTCGAGCACCGGCATGGGCAAGGCCACAGCGCCGATCGTGAGCGCGACCAGCATCGCGGCCCAGACCGCGAGCATTGCTACGAGCACGGCCCCGACGACCGCTACGAGCACGACGGGGCCCACGAGCAGCACGGCGGAGACCGCGAGCAGCACGGGAATACATCGACATGCTGGCATCCCCCAGATAGGGCGACACGCCGGCGTCCACCCTCGAGGCGTCGACCCTCACGCGCGCCGTCACGCCGGCGTCCACCCTCGAGGCGACGCGCCGACGTCCACCCCAGCCCGGGGGAAAACTGCGGGACAAAACACGACAATGTATCGCGGCCAGAATGTGGGAAACGTTTTCCGGTCACCCGGTCCCCTTGGGCCCCGCGGCAACGCGATGCAATGCAACGCAGTGGGAGCAGACCCTCCGGCGTTAAAACTGTTAAGCGCTCCTGGAGGCCATCCTTGGGCCCCACTGCTCCGGCGCGAAATTGTCACGAAACCTCCCCGGACCAGCCATTGGAGGGCTGAGGACTTCAACTATCCACGCCGGCTCCCGCACCGACCAGCCGACTCCCGCACCGACCAGATCGCGGCCTACCACATCGACCAGCCTGTCCGCTCCCCCACCGATCAGCTCGACGACTCCCGCGCCGACCAGCTCACCAACCCCCGCATCGACCCTCCGACTGCGGATGGGAAAAATGCCCTGCGCGCTGGAGCACTGCAACTGCGCGTATTTACGCCCCAGCCCGGAGGGCATCGCGGCGACGAGTATGAGTGCGGCCACGACCACAACCCCGAACGCAGCCGCCACGGAGACCTTGAGGGCGACCTGCACCACAGTTACGGCCACGAGTACGGCGCCTGGCCCTGCACCGATCGTCAACAGGACGCTGCCGTACGAGGTCCAGGACATATGGTGGCGAAGCGTGTTCCCACCGTGGCGGGCGTGTTCCACGCGGAGCCTGGGAGCGCTCCACTCGCCGGGCCGTGCGAGGGCCTTTGGCGCCGCCGGCCCTGGCTGAGCGCCAACGCGCAGCCGGAGCTCCAGGGCATTGGATTGCACAGGTGGCAACTCGGCCAGCTGAGCAGGGGCAGCAGTGCGAGTCGATCAGCTCTGTCGCGGCCACCTCGTCACCTGCCGCAGCCGCTGGCGGGGCGGGCGAGCAGCAATGCCGCCGCCGCGCAGAGCGCGCCGCGGGGGGAGCGGGCGGGACTACTGCGTTCGAGGTCGCGTTGCACGCGGCGGTGGACGCACGGGGAATGGGCGCTCCGGGAGTTGCCGACGCCGCTGGCCACAGCGACGTCAGCGTCGTCAGGGCCCCTGTCTGCTGCGCCGACGGCCACATCGACCGCAGCGCCGTCGAGGTCCTTGACGACTGCGCCGACCTCCGTGCCGACAGCAGCTCCGACAAGGCCCTCGAGGGCCGCGCTGACACCGGCACCGACGAGGCCTCAGAACACTGCGTCAACGCCCATGCCGCCAGCAGCGCCGACAAGGCATCCGGCTGCTGCGCCGACGGCCGCGCCGGCAGCGGCGCCGGCGAGGTCGACGACGTCCGGCGGCGGCGCCGACGAGGCCGACGACGAGGTGGCCGACACCGGCGGGTGCCTTGCCAGGCTGGAGACCATCGGCACGGTGCTAAGGCACGGGTTCATGAGGGCGCCGCCGGCTGCCAGGTCGGCCTCACTGGCGGGGGGACTGCGGTAGGCAGCCCGCCGCTACTCTTGCCAGAGGAGGGGCAGGGATGCAGAAACGCACCGCCTACGACGGGTGTGGAACAAGCAGGCCAAGAGAGCGGCCCTTGAGCCTGGCTTCGCTGAGCTGGGCCGCACATTTCAGCTGCAGGAGATTCAGTCCCGGGTGCTCACCTCGCTCATCTCGCTGGGGGGCCCGACGTGGCGCGCTCGCGCGGGCCTCAGGGTCTGGGCGGCGATCGCGATTCAGGCCGCCTGGCGGCGGTCGCAGGCCTGGTTCCGCGTTGAGGTGCTGAGGTCTACGTTGAGGTCGACGGCCAGTGGGGACACTGCGGAACTGCATTTCCGCACCTTCAGGATGATCCAGGCCAGGGCGAAGCCCGCGACGGAACTCGCCTGCGCCCAACTGGCGGCCGCAGAGGCCAGACGCTTCTTCGAGGTGGAGACCGCTCGCGGAGAGGAAGCAGCGCCGGGGCCCCAGCCACTGCATGCGGCGGAGGAGGGGCGCGGACAATTCTTCGGGATGGAGGCCGCGTGTGGTGAGGAGGCTTCGGTGGCACCCAGCCTGCTGTTCCGCGAGGCGGGGCCCACTGCAGGCAGGGGCGGCGCCGGCCGCGAGGACCGCAGCGAGCGCTACGGCGAGAATCCAGGCACGCTGCAGCCGCGGGCGCCCCGGCAGCGGGGTCAGATCGAGCTGGGGGCACGGAGCAACGGCAGCGGGGCGGGGAAAGCCCAGCAGCCGCACCAGGAGCACACCGGCAACATGCCGTCTTGTGCTCCCCACCCACCCACCCTTGAGCGGCGGCGAGGGCCCCAGCGGAGCTGGCGGCGGAAGATGCACGTGCCGTGCGACGACTACTTGGACGGCCCCCCACCAAGACCCTGAGGGAGGCCCGAGAGAGGAGTAAAATGGCGGAGGAGGAAGGAGGAGGAGGAGGAGGAAGAGGAGGAGAAGGTGCAAGGCGCCTGTGGAGAGGTAGGGAGTGAGAAGGACGCTGGGAAAGGTGGCGCAGCGGAGAATGAAGCAGGAGCGCACGGGGAGGACGTCAACGATCTTGAGGAGGACCGCGCCGACTGCAGCTCCGACGCTAACGCTGGTCGCCGAACCGACGACTGCGCTGACAGCAGCCCCGGCAGCGGTACCAGCAGTTGCGCCAGCAAGCGCGTCGACAGCTGCGCCGACTATGGCAGCGACGGCCGCGCCGACGGCGGCGCCGACCACTTCGCCGGCGGCGTCCCCGACTGCCGCATCGACAGCAGCCCCAGAACGAGCACCAGACATATCATCGACGAGTTCGCCGTCTGCGGCATCGACCGCGGCGCCAGCCGCTGGCCCACGGCCGCGCCGACAGTGGCACCACCCATTGCGCCGACGGTGTCGCTGACAGCCGCGACGACTGCCGCATTGGCCCCCGCCACGGCGGCCGACCCAGCGACAGCGACGGCGTCGTCGCCAGCGGCTGCGCCGACAGCCGCGCCGCCCGCAGCGCTGACAGCAGTGCCGGCATCGGTGCGAACAGCCTCACCGGCAGCTGCCTTGAGGGCTGCGCGGTCGGCAGCAATGGCAGCCGCTCCAGCTGCGGCGCCGGCAGCTGCGAGGGCAGGGGCGTCGGCAGCCGCGCCGGCAGCAGCACCGACCGCGGCGCCGACAGCTGCGAGGATCACCGATCCCACGAAGGCGTCGGCGGCATCGCCAGCGGCTGGGCCGACAACCACGCCGCCCGCAGCGTCGACAATTGCGCCGACGACGGTGCCGGCAGCCGCGCTGGCAGCTGCCCTGAGGGCTGCGCGGGCGGCGGCACTGGCAGCCGCTCCGACGGCGGCACAGACAGCTGCTCGGACAGGCCCAGGGGCGCCAGCAGTCGCGCCGACAGCGGCACCAACGGATGCGCCGCCTACAGGCCCGATTTCCGCACCGACGACGGTTCCAGCGGCCGCGCCGACTCCAGCGTTAACGACCCCGCCGACGGCATCGTCAGCGGCTGCGACGCCTGCTGCGCCGGCCACCGCGCCGACCGTTACACCAACGTCGGCACCGACCTCTTCCCCGACGGCCACGCTGATTGCGATGCTGACGGATGCGTCGACGACCGCGCCGACTGCGGCACTTACAGCTGCGCCGGCTGCGATCTTGGCGGCGGGCGCGCCAGCCGCGGCGCCAGCTGTGCCGCCGACCAGCTTCCTGACAAGTCTGCCAGCCTCGGCACAAACAACAGCGCTGACGGATGCGGGGGCCGCCAAGCCGACAGCGGCGCCGACAGCAGCTCGGACGGTTGCGGTGACTACGGCCCCCACGGCCTCGCCGACAGTTGCGTCGACAGCGACGCCAACAGCCCGTCCGACTACGGCACTGGCAGCAGCGCCGGCCGCGGAACCGACAGCCACGCCGACAGTGGTGCCAGTAACGGCGCCGACACGGGCGCCGGCAGTTGCGCCAACACTACTATCGGCAGCCATGCCGACAGCCGCGCCGACAGCGCCGACTGCAGCGCCGGCGGCCGCGCTGGCTCGGGCACCGACAGCTACGTCCGCCGCGGCACCGTCCGCCTCGCCGACAGATGCGCCGACGGCCGTGCCGGGGGCCGCGCTGGCTGCGGAGTCGACAGATGCGCCGGCCGCGGTACCTACAGCAACGCCGGCAGTTGCGCCGGCACGCGCGTCGGCAGCGCGATGACCGCAGCACCGACAGCAACGCCGACGGCCACACGGGCAAGTGCGTCGACAACTGCAGCGGCTGCGGCACCGACGACCGCGCAGACCGCAGCGCCGACGGCCACGCAAGCTGCGGCGCTGACCGCCTGGCCGGCTGTAGCAGCGCTGACACCGGCGCCAGCGGCTGCACAGATTGCTGCGCCGACCGCAACACCAGCGGCGGAGCCGACAGTTACGTCGACGGCGGCACCGACACCGGCTTCGACCGCTGCGCCGGCGAGTGCGTCGACAGTGTGCTGACAGAGGCCAATCGGGGCACCCCCCGCGCTCAGGGGCCGCCGCCAGGGGCAGGCGAGCAGCAATGCCGCCGCCCCCACCTGAGCGAGCACCCCGCACAAGAAATGGGCATCCGCATCAACGGCACCTTCAGAGCCCTCGAGGACCTGTCCGGGGAGGGCCACCCGGCGAGCGCGGATGTCTTCGCCGACCTCGTCGTGGAGCTGGAGGTCGCGCGGACGGACGGCGCCGAGGCCGTGGGGGACCGCAACGACGACTACCAAAATAGCGAGGGCGACGCGGGCTCTCATCAGGGCGTTGCCGCCCAGCGCCTTGTGCTTTGTCCTCGTGGGCCTGATCTACTTGGAGCGGTCAGGTGCCTCGCTCGCCGGGCCGCGCGTGCGACCTTCGCACTGCCAGCCCGGGCCAAGCGACGGCACACCGCCAGCCCTGCGGAGTGCCAGACGGTGCCCGCGGGTAGTGACGACAGCACGGTCCAGATGAAGTGGGAGGATTCCAGCGGAGGGCCAGAGGACTCTCCCGTCGACACGGATCTTGAGGAGGAGCGGGAGGTAGAGGCCCGGACCATTGGATTGCGCGGTGACGACCGATCAGACAGCAGCACGAACGGCGCCGCAGACGGTATCGCCGACGACGGAGCTAGCTGTAGCACCGACGGTTTCGCCGACGGCTGCTCCGACCGCCGTTCCGACGTTTTCGGCGATCACTGCGCCGACAGCTGCACCGACACCGACGCTGACAGCAACGCTGGCCGCGGAACCAGCGGCGGCGCCGACAGCGGCACCAGCGGCGGCGCCGACAGCTGCGCCCACAAGTGCGCCGATAGCTGCGCTGACTGCTGCGCCGACAGCCGCGCCGACTACGGCACCGACAGCTTCGCCGGCAGCGTCCTCGACGGCTACGCCGACAGCGGCCCCAGTGAGGGTACCGAACGGCTCCCCGACTGGTTCGCCGCTTGCGGCACTGGCCGCGGCGCCGGCACATGGGCAGACGGCCGCGCCGACAGCGGCACCGCTGGTTGCGCCGACGGTGTCGCTGGCAGAGGCGACGACTGCCGCACCGACCTCTGCCGCGTTGGCCGACTTACCGACAGCGACGACGGCGTCGCCAACGGCTGCGCCGACATTTGCGCCGACCGCAGCATTGGCAGGCGCGCCGACGACGGCGCCGACAGCCTCGCCGACAGCTGCCCCGAGGGCTGGGACGGGAGGACCGCGGCACTGGCAGCCGCGCCAAAGGCGGCACCGACAGCTGTTCGGACAAGTACGTCAGCGGCTGCCCCGACAAAGGCACCGACAGCTACAGCTGTGCCGACAACGGCTCCGACGGCCGCGCTGGCAGCGTCACTGACAGCCCCGCCGACGACGTCGACAGCGATTGCTACGACTGTTGTGCCGACCGCTGCACCAACGACGGCGCCGGCAGGCTCCCCGACAGCCGCGCTGATGGCGGTGCCGACAGCTGCGCCGACGGCCGTGCCGACTGCGGCACCCACAGCGTGTCTGGCTGCGGCACCGGCGGGCGCGTCGGCTTCGGCGTCAACAATGTCGCCGATCGGCTCCCTGACAGGTTCGCCGACTTTGGCATCAACAGCGGCGCCAATAGCTTCGGAGACCACCGGGCCGGCAGCGGCACCGACAGTGGCGTCGACAGTTGCACCGGCTGCAGCCTCGACAGCGTCGCCGACAACTGTGCCGACAGCGACGCCGACAGCGACTGCGGCACATGCAGCAGCGCCGGCAGCGGAGCTCATGGCAACGCCAACAGCAGCACCGATAGCGGCGCCGACATGTGCGTTAGCAGCCGCGCTAATTGCGGCATCGATAGCCGCGCCGACGGCTGCGCCGGCATCGGCGCCGACAGCGTCGACGGTGGCATCGGCAGCCGCGCTGGCAGCGGCACCGACAGCTGCGCTGGCTGCAGCACGGACCGCCTCGCCGACAGACGCGCCGACGGCGGCACCGAGAGATGCGCCGACCACGGCACCGACGACGGCGTTCACTGCGAAGTCGACAGCTGCGCAGACAGAGGCACCGACAGCGACACCGACAACTGCGCCGGCGAGTGCGTTGACAGCCGCGCCTGCTGCGGCGCCAACAGCCGCCCAGACCGCGGAGCCGACAGCTGCGCAGGCCGCGGCGCTGACCGCCCATAGCCGGGACTCGCCCCAGCAGCGGCGGGAACAGCCGCGCCGACTGCGGCGCTGACAGGAGCGCCAACCGCGGAACGGACGGCTGCGCCAACAGCGACACCAACAGCTGTGCCGACGAATGCGCCGACAGATGCACCGACTGTGACTCGAACAGCCTTGCCGAACGTTGTGCCGGCGGCCGCGCCGACCGCAGCACCGATAGCTGCGCTTGCCGCGGTGCCGACGGCGGCATCGAAAGTCTCACCGACGGCTGCGCTAGCAGCGGCGCTGACAGCTGCGTCGATTGCGGCACTGGCGGCGGCGCCGGCACTTTCGTCGACAACGGCGCCGATTGCAGCACCTGCAGCTGCGCCAGCACGTTCGTCGACAGTTGCGTCGATTACGCCACCGACAGCCGCGCTAACGGCAGCACCGACAGCTGCGCCAGCTACGGCACCAACCGCCTCGCCGACAACACGGAGCACCTCGCCGAACGCAGCGCCGATGGCCTCGCGAACAGGTGCTCCGCCGACAGCGATGACTGCGGCACGGGCAGCCGTGACGACTGCGGCACCGACAGCATCGCCGACAGCTGTGCCTGCGGCCACGCCGGCAGCAGCACCGACAGCTGCACTTGCAGCGGCGCTGACAGCGGCATCGACAACCTG